TACATTACATTACATGACATAACATACATATGAGAGAGATGTGCACAGACACAAACATATAGAGAGAGAGAGCGAAAGAGAGCACATTGTCGCAACACAGTGGGGCAAGGCGTGGGGCTCAACTTTGCTACAAATCCAACACCCACCGACGCCTCACCAACAAGTCGAGTATCGAGCTTCTTAGCTTGAATTGAGCATGGATCCAAGACCCTAGCTTTTTTGAGGGCCCCCAAAATAGTATGGCACCCTTATAAAATGGACCCGAAAAAGGGACCCCAGCCCTGACCCTAGGCCCTATATACTCCAAAACCCTACGCAAACCGTCATACCTCGACTCTAGAATGGGTTTGGGGTGTATAGGGTTCAGGGGAATTTTCATCGTGGTTAAAGAAACTACACTTGGGCGACAAAGGAAGGCATGACATTTCAGGGGCTGGATAAGCCCCACAACAGAGCACTCACAAAACGACTCTAGCACTGAACCGCAACACCCGAAATCTCTCTATAAACCCTGAGCCCAAGTTCCTGCAAAATTCAGGTGCTATCCGGAGATGCGGCGCGGAAACTCCGACTACGGTTTCCCGGGTGATTCCCTCGAGGTGAGGGTTTAGGGTTTTAGGGTTTTGTGGGTTTGGATGGAGGGTTTTGGGAGTCATGAAATGGGGTGTTACAGTTGCGCACAGCATTTTGGATTCCAAGGTGTCTCTGGAAGGCAGTCGCGTCTAAGGTTGCAGGTGTGAGTTGCTCTTCCATAGTCTAAATCTGGAGGGCCCCCAGTATAGGGCGAGAAGAATGAGTAAGACTTTTCCTTTGGTTCACCCTAAAGCGTTAAGCTCTTGTAGAACCCCTTCTTGAACCCTTTAACCCAAAGCCCTAACCCTAAAACATCCTAAGCCACCCTATGCACCTAGCCGCAACCTGAAACCCTCAACCCTCATAAACCGCAAAGTTACACAAACCCTCAACCCTTCTAAACAAGAAATCCTTAACCACGCAAGACCCCCCCCCCCCCCCC